GTATGGTTTAAACTTTGCCCATCCGTCACATGGGTGACGGAGCAAACTGACTAGTTTTATACATAAGTGCTTTGTTTTGGGGGTTTTTGTCCCCCCCTAGCAATATTTGAAGATTAGAAAATGGCTTCCTATCTTAGCAAAGAGAAATTCATATGAATTTACTACAAGATCTCCTTGTCAGTCCCTTCGACTGCCTAGAATTTAAATTGGCAGACACGCCTTTGGTATAAAATGCTTTCCATGGACAATATTAATATTTTAAAATCCTTTTTACTCCTGCAGATTTCCAATAGACAGGAAGTCTAGCTCTCCCCTTTGGCTACTAACGAATACTATTGAATCATTGTTTATCATCTGGAGGCAGAAGCACTGCACATATGAAATCAGCATAGCCAAATAAGGCAGACACTTAATTTTAAAATTAAAAAATAATCCATTCGTACGTGACAACTAAAGTGTGGATATTAGAATTCTGGACGTGAGTCAGAAAATCTAGGTTATATCCCCACATCTGTCACTAACTTAACTGGGCCGCTTCGGGCCAGTCACTGCCCAACTCTGGTCTTCAGTGTTTTCTCTAAAGGCACAACGTCACCATTGCAGATTCTATATACTGCAGAGAACTTGGTTGGGAAAAGCGGAATCCTCTTATTTATCAGCTATCCATACCAGCCTGGCTGCTCGGAGGTCAGTCTCCAGCTGCATTTTCATCGTTTTATAATCCCTTAAATCCTGGCTAGGCTTTCATTGCTAGTTTGTTTCCCTAGCAATTTGCATTTAGAGACATTGAGGACTTCCTACCTTAGGAATTTTTCTATGCTTATGAGTTTCATGTGTTACCTAGAGTTGGATGAAAAATGTAATCATCAAAAGACTCGTTCGAGTGTTCTGCAATATCTGACTATTTCCATCATGACTCATATACCTTTACTATTTCAAAGCTTTGAGTCAATATGTTCAAATCTTAGCATGGTGAGGCATCATCATTTTCTCCCGTTAACTGTGCTAACATTTCCCCCACGTACTTCTTGTTCTAAATGATCTTTTTTTTTTTTTTTAAAGCCTAGACTGATTGAACAACAAGGCTCCATATCACAAGAAAAACTTGCTAGCCAGATCCCCAGTTACATTTTAGGTATTTGAAAATTTCATTGATTTCGAATAGTTTGAATTGTACTAAGCTAAAATTTACCTTTATTTTGGTCTGCTAGGAAATGAAGTAAACAAAATACTTGCCTCAGAGTAAAGAAAAACTAACTGTATAAGGCATGATTTCAGCATGTGTGATTTTTTTAACAAAAAATCTAGAGTTAGATTCAAAAAGCATTAATTAAAGGAGGCCTAGCACTATCATCAAAAGAGCAGACATTAAGAAACACTGGTGAGGATGTGAGGAATTGGAACCCTCTTCTATTGCTGGTGGGAATGTAGAAATGTGTAGCCATTCTAAGAAGCAGTTTGTTGATTACTCAAAAACTTAAAGATATAGCCCATGCCTGTAATCGGAGCACTCTGGGAGGCTGAGGCAGGTGGATTGCTTGAGCTCAGGAGTTCGAGGTCAGCCTGAGCAAGAGTGAGACCCTGTCTCAACTAAAAATAGAAAAACTAGCTGGGCATTGTGATAGGCACCTTTAGTCCCAGCTACTCTAGAGGCTGAGGCAAGAGGATTGCTTGAGCCCAGGAGTTTAAGGTTGCTGTGACCTATGATACCATGGCATTCTACCCAGGGCAACAGAATCAGACTCTGTCTCAAGAAAAAAAAAAAAAAAGAGAGAAAAAACAACAACAAAACAATAAAACCTTAAAGATAGAATTACCTTTAACCAATTCTACTTCCGGGTATCTACACAACAGAAATGAAAACATATGTCCACATTAAAATGTATGTGTGAATGTTCGTAGCAGCATTATTTGTAATAGCCAAAAAATAGGAACAGTCCAGATGGTTATCCATCCATGAATGGGTTTAAAAAAGTGGTATAGGGCGGCGCCTGTGGCTCAACAGGGTAGGGCGCCTGCCCCATATGCCAGAGGTGGTGGGTTCAAGCCCAGCCCCGGCCAAAAACTGCAAATAAATAAATAAATAAATAAAAGTTAGATTGCTTTAAAAAAAAAAGTGGTATAGCTATACAATGAAATATTATTAGTCAATAAAAAGGGGTGAAGTACTGATCCATTCTATAACATGGATGAAACCTCAAAAACATTATGATAAGTGAAAGAAACCAGACACAAAATATGTGATTTCTCCTAAATGAAATGTCCAGAATAGGCAAAATCATAGAAACAAAAAGTAGATCAGTATTTTCCAGGAGCTGGGAGGTGGGGAGATTTTACAGTGAATGCTAATGGATATGGGTTTTCCCCTTGGGGTGAAGAAAATGTCCTAATATTGCATAACCATTGCACAATTCTGTGAATATACTAAAAACCACTGAATTGTATACTTTAAAAGAGTGAATTTTGTGGTATGTGGATTATATCTCAGTTACACTGTTACAGAGTAAAAAAACACTAGCAACTATATTATTATAACTATTTGAAATTATAAAAATGTATTTAAATTACATTTTATGCCAGGGGCTGAGAAAAGTGAGAATGAGGAGTTAGTATGTAAGGAGTTTTAATTTGGGAAGATGAGAAAGTTCTGGAGAATGGATGGTGGTGATGGATGCACTACAATGTAAATACAGGTATACTTAATCCTATAAGACTATATACTTTCAAAGGGTTAAAATGGCAAATTTCATGTTTTGTATGTTAAGCAATTAAAAACTCCATAACCTCAAATAAAACATTACATTTTATATTATTCTAATGAGTAATATAATATCTCATGAGTAATATAATATCTAATGAGTAATATCCTTTTCCCCTCTTTTTCTTCTTTTTAACGGGAAAACCAAAAGTGTGATTGGCCTTTTGCTTTTTATGCATGGGCTTCTTTTGGTCTATGTTTTAGAACTTGTGTTGTGTGTGTGTGTGTGTGTGTGTGTTGGGGGGGAGTTGTCTAAACACACATGTGTCTTTATCTTGGCTTTGAATTAGAACTCAGAAGTATTTTTTAAAACTTTATTTCCTGGTAGGAAAATAAAAGAAGCCAAACCATAGGACATTTATGCTGTTAAATTATAAAATAGTGAAATGCCGCTCTCAGAGTGTGAGGTAGCACAGAGTTCCTGATTTTCTTGGTTAATTCTGGCTTCTTGAATGGGAAAAAAATTTATACTTTATAATTACACAACATCTCTCTATATCTTCCTATAGGTATTTTCCGTTGTATAGCAAGATAGAATGAACACCAAAATGCATTGCACATACTCGCAAATATAGCAGATGAGTTTTAGAATGCAAAGGAATTGATGGGAAAATGAAAAAAAGAAAATTAGGCAATGAGAAAGTCACTGAAAAAGGAAATGAATTCGTTCCAAAGACCACAGAACTTTGCTATGACCGAAGCAGTTTGTAGGGTCTGAGTTTGTAACCTCTGACGATTGATCTCTGAAAACATTTTCTAAGCCTGCTTGCTTGCTATCTAGGACATTTGAAGATGGGTGGCGTGAATGCCAGTAGTACCGTTAGTATAGTGGGTAATCAGAGGTGTTTGTTTTTCTTGCTCAGAAGTGGTGGGTTTTTTCATTAAATCGTAACTGTGTACATTAATGCAATTATGGGGTACAATGTGCTGGTTTTATATACAATTTGAAATACTTTCATCAAACTGGTTAATATAGCCTTCATCTCATTTTCTTAGTTATTGTGTTAAGACATTTATACTCTACACTTAGTAGATTTAACATGTACCCTTGTAAAATGCATCATAGGTGTGGTCCCACCAATTTCCCTCCCTCTACCCATCCTTCGTCCTCTCCTCCCCTCCCCCTCCTCTTTCCCCTTCATCTTGGGCTGTAGCTTTCAATATGAAGCAACACTAAAAATACATTACTAGGATCTGATCAAACTAAAAAGCATCTGCACAGCCAAGAACACAGTAGGTAAAGCAAGCAGACAACCCTCAGAATGGGAGAAGATATTTGCAGGTTATGTGTCTGACAGAGGTTTGATAACCAGAATCCACAGAGAACTCAAAAACATTAGCAAGAAAAGAACAAGTAATCCCATCTCAGTGTGGGCAAGGGACTTGAATAGGAAGTGGTTTTTTTAAGTATAAGGAACATACAGTGTGTGTGAGAGTGTGTGTATGTGTTCTGTCCTGTTACAAGAAGAAATATGGTCTTCCAACATTTTACAGCAAGGTTTTTCTAGAGTTAGGCACTGTGACATACTACACTTGATTACAGGATCCAATCAGAGTTGATGTACTCAGAAATCCATTGATGTGATTAATGGTCCCCTAGATTAGCCTATTTCCTGTAGTTTCACAATCTTTGAGTCATATCTTGAAGTATCCTTTATAGGGGGCCTGAAATCCTTATATTTTTAGTCTATAATTTGCATGATTATTTTCATTTTCTTTTTTTCCTTTTTTCTGCTTGAACAAAAGAAATTTTGATCTTTCTCTGGACTCTTTGAGCACTGTTCTATGATGACTGGCCAACTTAGTATAAGTTCCCCCCCCCATATGATAATACACATACATTATTTATTTTTGCTGCCACTCACACTAGATCTACAGTCTTCCCACTAGTTTCCACTAATCTGGTTATTATTCTCCTCAAAAGTAAAATCAAATATTCTCTGATTCTATAAGTTAACAGGGAACGACATTGAGAAATGACTGTACAGGAAGGAAATATAATTGATCATTCACTCTCTACGATTGAACTGGTCACAAGATTGGTTAGCAAACACAATCTATTAAATGGAGGTGGTGACTTCTAAAATCTCTGGGGCTTTGAATACATTCAAAGATTATTGGCACCTTTGACATCTTACTGATTCTTTTTGAACCTCTTACCTTTTTCAAATGATGGTCTGCATTTGAAATGAGGAACGTTCATATCCTGTGATTGCTTTAATATTTGCTTTGTTTTCAACAGTGCCCTTAAAGATAGCCGTTTTCCCCCAATGACGAGGGATGAGCTGCCACGACTTTTCTGCTCAGTGTCTCTGCTCACTAACTTTGAAGATGTCTGTGATTATTTGGACTGGGAGGTAAGACTACAGAAAATTTTTAAAGAAAAATAAAGGTAACTCCTGAGTAGATGTTAAAGATTAGGTCCATAAATAACTTTTTCAACCAGTTCTCTATGGCAGTGGAGGTCAAGAGTAACACAGATAAATGAACCTCACAGTTGAACAATGGGTATGAATGAAGGATTTTTTTAAAAGGACAATATGCCATTTGCTATTGTGAGCCCCAGACTGAATTTGGTTTTCATTTTTTTATCCTACTACCATAGAAGAGAACCTCATAAAAGCTGTTATTATAATAATAAGTAGTAGGAAGGACTGACTGGAATCTATTACTCTTCCTATTTCCATTCCAGTATGTTCTAATATAATTGCCACCAAGTGATTAGGTGGTCAAAGGATAAAGCTCAGAAAAAAGAAGCAAGAGTAAGTTAGGATCATATACCATTTGGGAGGAATCAGCCGATGATAATAGCAAGGTGTTGGTTATCTAGAGTTAAACAATGCTAATTCATTCTTGGCTACCTTAATGTACACACTTAAACACACTAACAAATAATATTAAGGTTATATGTAGGGTAGCTGCATGCATTGCCATTATCACAGTCAATTGTATCGATCAGACTTTTATTCTTCTTTAGTGTGGGGGGTTGGTTTGTTAATGAAGTTCAGAGGTTCTCACCGTGATCTGCTTTGATAGTTTGGAGGAGATAGTTGAGTGTAGGTCTATGGGTCTTTGAAATTTTACACATAAACATGCCCATATTTCTAAGTGCCTGCTGTATTCCGTGCACTGGGCTACATGTACAAAAGTGGTAAGATTTGGTCCCCACCATAAAGCAACTTACAGTCTAGTAGCAGAGAGAAAATGTATATACAAAGTATGAAGAAACAAGTGCTATGAGATTGAAACAATAAGAATGCAGTGATATACACAGTATATATAAATTGATAGCGCTGATCCTTGCAAAGTTGGAATGTATATAACCTTTTTTGTTCAATTGAAATTTCTTACTTTATTTTTTTCTACAAGTTTAGTCCTATTAATTTTTCTTAAAGAGAAGTCTACCAATATTCCAGAAATATTCCCCAGCACTTTGTTTTTAAATGGTCCCACATTACGTGCCCTATTTATTAACATGTATTACAGTTTGGGTGGTCCTTCTATTGTTTTAAGGTTGGTGCTTCCTCTTCCTTATCCAGGATTTTATTTCTTCTTTCTGTATTACAGGATGCTGTATGTGTGGGGGGTGGGTCAAGAGTGAGTACAGAAGAAGAACCTGATAGGATATGACTGAACTCTAAGAATACTTCTACTCTTAACTTTCATCCACTGAGTTGGAAATACAGTTCTGATGTGTGTGTGTGTCTGTATGTATATCACATATATGAATATATAAATGTGTGTGTGCATGTGTTTGGGGGATAGAAAAATGGGAGAATCCAATAGCTGTTATATAGATCTGGGTAAGCACAGAGTATACATACCATCATCTCCTTTAGCCTGCTTCAAGCACTGTCTACACTACAGCTAAAATTAACCTTGATATCATTGGGCTCGTATGTTCCTGAGATGTATCAGCTTTCTGTTAGGAGGGTAGGAAGTAAAGCCCTTAAGAATTAGTACTGTGTTCTCATTCAGGTTGTATTTATCTTCTTTGGGCACCATCTGCCAGCTTGAATTTCTAGAAGATTCGACATTCTACTTGGTATTGTAAATTTAATATATTCCTTAGGGTTTAAATGTTGGTGTCTATTAAGTGATGCTTTTCTGGTTGAAACAAAAAATACATATATTTCATTCTCACCAGCCAGGTTTTGAGAGGAAAAAGTGGAAAAAAATACATATTTTTTTTTTTTTTGTATTTTAATTCACAAGAATTTGAAAGTGAATTAGAATGGCTAAAAGGAAAAGGCTTTTCTTTTCAGTAAGTTCATTGTTTTAAGTATTTGGCACAAGGGAAATTAGTTCTCACAGTGTAAGGGTGAAAATTACATTTTTAAGTCTAAGAAAGTGATTTGGTCCTAAAAAATATGTACCATAGTCAGTGATTGAAAATATGATGTTATTGTTGTGGGAATGATATTCTAAGGGTTATCATTAATAATTCTGAAAAAGGATCGTTATTTTAAACACAGAATGCCAAAGTAGAGTTAAAGGCATTTTAAAAAATTACATGTTGGGGCGGCGCTTGTGGCTCAAAGGGGTAGGGCGCCAGCCCCATATACTGGAGGTGGCCATGGGTTCAAACCCAGACCCGCCCCCCCCCCAAAAAATACATATTGATAAAATTCCACTCCTGGGTATATCCCCAAAGAATTGAAAACAAGTGTTAAAACAAAAACTTGTACATGGATGTCTGTTGCAGCGCTATTCACAATAGCAAAAAAGGTAGCATCAGCCCAAATCTTTATCAGCAGATGAATGGGTAAATGTAATATGGGATAGCCATACAATTGAGGATTTTTCAGCCACAACAAGAGTGACACGTACTCCAACATCAATGAACCTTCACACTATGCTAAGTGAAAGAAGCCAAACACAAAAGGCCACCCATTATATGATTCCATTTTTATGAAACATCCAGAATGGGTAAACCTATGTACTGGGGTGAATAGGGGTAAATGGGAAGTGACCACTTAATGGGTACAGGGTTCCACGTGGGAGTGATGAAAAATTTCTGGAACAAGATAGTGGTGGTGGCCCAACGTTGTGACTGTATCTAGCACCACTGAATTGTATGCTTTAAAATTGTTAAAATGACAAATGTTATGTTACATGTATTTTGCTACAATAAAAACAGGAAATAAACTTTATATACACGCTGACTGTCCATAATAGCAATTTTAATTTATTGAAGAAGACATTTTTAGAAATTAAAACAATTACAAAGAAAAAAATGCAAGGCATTTATAATCACACCATCCTGAGATAACTACTGTTAACATTTTGGAAGATTTCTTTCTATTCCCTATCTGTTTTTGTATCCATAAATCTGTATATTTGGTTTTGTAACTGGGATCATATTGAATATACAATCACTATTTAAAAGATTACGGGAAAGTCTGTTCATAAGTAAATTATTTATGTTGCAAATTTCCTTTTTGTAAAGTCAGTCTATTATGAAAATATATGCATCACTTTGAGCGATTTCACACTGTCAAATAGGTACAACTTTTCTTCGAAGAATGAAATATCCTAGTCACCATAAGTATCTAATTTTAACCTGAAATGCAAAGTTCTGTGTGTGTTTATGCCACAGGGGAAAACAAGGAGATTATTACAGAATTTTAATAGAGAATTTTAAAGTCAAAGCTAGATAATGAATATGTTTCATATAAACAGAAGCCTCTAACATAGGGCTTTTCTGGTGGAAGAGAATTGAACCCCAGTGGTGAAGTGTGTTACTGCAGTAGAATTTCTAAGTAAAGGGACAAAAAAAAAAAAAAGCCCAGATCAAAGCAAGAAGGAAGAAGGCAAAGTCTAAAAGTCCCAAAGCATAGAAGTAGGTCACTTTGCTCACGAGAGAGACGTCCCTGTGATCATGAAGATGAGGAACGTGACCAGTGGTAATAGCCACCTAATTTTCAGATGATCAGGAAACAAATGAACTGCCACAAGGGCTGGCTACCATCTTGCTGTCTTTTTCACCCTCTGTTTATAACTCAGTCCATTTGGGAGCTCTCTTTTGGTAATGTCTCTCATTTTGTAATGGAAGGTAGGACTTCAGACTTTGGGGGGGCTAGAGTGCTTCTGTGTGATAATGTGAGGAATGTTTGAAGAGTAGGATAAATGGTTTCACATGTGGATATAATTAACGTTAAGTCTATGCTGAATTGAGAATGACCAATAATAATTCCAAATTTTATACGTTTTTCTTCAAAATAGTAATTATCACATTTAAAGTGAGTGTCTATAGGTAATTTCCCAAGGAATCTGGGTAGTCATTAAAAAACAAGCCATCCACAAAGAGTTGTCAAGATAAGTTGGAGCAGTGGCCCCACCCTCCTGAGAATTGCTGGTTATTGGCCACATAATGATCTACTTACTGCCCTGGCAATTATGAGAAAGATGAAGAGTGAATAATTTGGGGAAAATACTCATTAACTGATAAACTGGAATATCTACCTGCAAAGCTAAAATGGTTGTTAAGTGAGGAAAATTGCTCCCCTAGGGAGAAATCCCACCTGATAGGCTTTGTGTTTGAACACAATAACTTACCACCATTGTTCTGTGCTCTTCAGTTGACAGGGTGATTGACAGAGAGAATGCTTTAGAAGGAAAGAAAAGCTCACACCTTAGAGCCCTCCAAAATATTCTATAACTAGAACTTGCAGAGTTAAACTGTTTGAAAGCCATGTTTACTTTTAAAAAATCTGGAAGGATATAGAACCAGTGACATTACAATGACTAAGTTTGACTTGGGGGGGGGTTGATTCTCGGTGTGTCACCTCATAGCTGCTCATTTTCTGGATGATACAAATGAATAAGCATTTGTTTGCAGAAGAACTTGCATAGGAAGTATGTTACCAGTGATTTTGTGAGAGCTAACCTAGTAATTTGCTTACAGAAGTCAAAATATTTTCTAAATTATAGTCAAGCATCTTTTACTTCTGTGTTTCTGAGACAAGCTCATTTGAAGGTATGAGGCAGAAATGTTTTCTGTATTCTAAAGTAGATCCTCAGACCATATTTCAATCGATCAATGACTTTTTCGCAAACCCTAAGTCACTTTCCCCTCTATCTAGCTGTCTGGATCACTGATGTCTCAGTTGTCTATACTGCTGCCACTTGGGCAACACATTGTGGTCCTACGACTGTGCCTTTTTAGCACACACTTACATGGCATCAACCCACGCTGCGTGGGGCTGGCCAGCGTGATTCTTTTGTGATGCCAAAAATCTGTCCCTGGACTACAAAGGTAGGAGCCCAAGCACTAGTTTTGCTCTCTCTCTAAAGTCCCAAAGCATCTGTCATCGTTTGTGAGCCTTGTTGGACTCCTGGTACTCAGAAAGCTGCT